GGCTTCTGGATGGCCGCTCACTGCGGCTGCAGGCCGCTCACGCTGGCTGCTGGCCACACACGGTAGCCCATGGCAATCCACTGCCACTGGCCCTCATATGTGGGATCTGAACCGGGGCCCTCTGGCATCCCAAGCGAGTTCTTAACCATCGCGCCACTCGGCCGGCCCATGCTGACATTATTTTTAAATGGTAAACTAATTTTTAAAGATTCTCACTCATATCAAAAGCTCTTCTTTATCTTGGAAATAAGCTCTTTTCTTCTTTTTTTCATAACTAAAAGAACAAAGGCTATTATGTAAATACACTTTTCAGTGTCCACAAAAAGAAACATCATTTAATAATATTTTGTTTTCTTCTTTTAGATATTTTGACAGTTTATCTGGGCTAGATATTCCTAGAATATACACATAACAACTGAATTTTTTTTGATCAGTTAATCTTTAAAGTTTCCCAATGGGGTAAAAGAGAGGGAGAGGAACAAAAAAATAAACAAGGAACCAGCTTCAGACAAATATGAAATTATCATTGTAAAAGGCTAATTATATTCCTTTAAAAAAAGATTTTATTGGGGAAATGGGGGAGGGGAACAGCGTTGGGGAATCAGGGAAGGGGAACAGACAAGCTGCTGTTCTCCTTCCTGTTCTTCAGTCTATTTGTGGAGGACGTCGCTTTACTGGCCCATGTTGGTATTATCATTGCGTTCTTCCCGGGTGAGGCAGTTGCTCACCGGCCATTGTACGGCCACTCGGGGCTGCTCACGGCTGCTCACGAAAGCTTACGCCAGCTGCCGGCCAGCCCCACTGCAGCCCACGCTGTCGCCGGTGACTCACAGTAGCCCAGCTCCAGGTCGAGCTGTTGTTCACCATCTTAGCTGTAGAGGCAGCAGCATCACTGGCCCTCATGTGGGATCCGAACCAGGGCCCTGCTGCTCAGAGCTGGTGTCCCAAGCCAGCTCTTAACCAACGCGCCACTCAGCCGGCCCTAATTATGTTCCTTTTTGAAGGAGAGGGAAGAATGTATATATACTGAAAACACATTCTGACAAACAGAAGAAAAAGAGATAGAGATGGGTAGATATTGAGATTTCAGCTGGTTTAGACAGTAATTGACCACTGAT